CAGGAACACAGCAGGAAGTGAACAACTAGGAGCAAAGCCTGTATATGAACCAACTGAGACGGTAGTAAACATCCAGGCCCCAGTTGTTCAAAAGGTGGATAGCAATATCCACTGGATAAATCTCTATCCACAGAGTAATGCAAATGGATTCCTTAATACTTATCCCCTGGATAGCAACTTATCCGGTTGGTAGCACTATCCAACGTTTGAACAACCAGGGCCAGGAGTGAGAATTGGGAATTTGTGTACTAAACCCTCTCAGCCATAAACCACTCTGGCACAATACTCTGTGTCTGTGAATGGCTTGTTCCAGTCCTGGGCCATTGCTGTTCACACCGTACCAGATACCTTTTTCCAGACATAACTAATCGATGACATCAATGAAATCAATGAGTTATCAGTAGGTAATCGATAGGTAATCAGTTGATTAGTCATTGATTATTGCTGATGATCAATGAGTAAAAGATGACTAATCGATAGGCCACAAAATTTTTGGTCATTGATTAGTCATTGATTGCATCAATTAGTCATTGATTGCATCAGTTGTTTAGTCATTGATTTCATCTATTACTCATCGATATCATCTCGTGGCTGTAAACGTATTCGGCGAAGAAAAATTAAATTTAAAAAACTGTATTTGTGATTAGCACTTTGCCTCTCGACATCGTCAACAGGATCTTCAGATACAAGGAAAAATGCATCTAACACAGATAAAAGAATCATAAACGAAAAAAAATGGTACAAGAAAAGTTTCTTTCGTGCGCAGTATAATAGTCGATAAGTAATCAATGGGTCATCAATGAGTAATCGATGTCATCGATGAGTAATCGATAGGCCACAAAATTTTTTGGCTTCAATTACTCATTGATTACTCATTGATCATTGCCAATAATCAATCACTAATCAGCTGATTACTCATCGATTACTCATTGATTACCAATTGATGTCATTGATCATTGATTAGCTAGGTCTGGCTTTTTGTGTTGACACGAAAAGCTATCCAGTAACAGTGCAGACATAGCCTTAGACACTATTTACATGTGGTAACCGATAAATATGCCTTACTTCTCATAACTTGGAAATTTCTTATCTTTGTACTAAACTTGAACATAATTAGGACACTATTGGTCTATCCACCAAACTGGACTGTTCATGTAAAAAGTCACCAAAAAACGTGCTCACATTTTAACCAAGAAAACACTGATTTACATGCAAAGCAGAAACCCCCCTTGACTTCACTATTTCTAATGGTCCAAACCTTATGTACAATATTTTAGCAATTAATAGGCCATTTGCACGATGGCATAATTTCAATACTACCAGAATCCATATAGTTTTTCTTTTCATATTTAAATTTGGTAATCCCAGTGAGGTTTCACACAAAAGTACTAAGGCCTAATTTGCACAACAAAGCAACACACTGAAGCACTCTGGTAGCAGTGGTAAAATGGCATCATCGTGCAAATGACCCATTGGCAATTAGACTATAAAATAATAAATGAATAAAATATACTAATAATATATAACGATTAGGAGATAGCACATCCACATAGTAGTTCTTCGTCTACCTGATTCCTGATCGAATTGGAATCTGGAAATATTGGATTTTGAGGAGAAGGGAAAACTGGAGAAAAACCTCTTGGAGCAAGGGAGAGAACCAACAACAAACTCAAACCACATATGGTGTCAACCCAGGCCACATTGGTGGGAAGCAAGTGCTCTCACCAGTGCAACATGATGACAGTGTGAAGGCAAATTTAAAGCAGTGGAAGTTGGGTTCAGTCCTTTCACATGCACCGTCATGTCCTCAGTTGTCATTGCATTGCCTTTGCTATAAAGCCTTTTACTTTCTCTAGCTCACCCAAGCATGCATTTTAAAATTACAATACACTGTTGAACTTCCATTAAGAGGCCACCTATTAAGCGAACACCCTCTATCTAGTGGCCAGTGATAAAAATCCAAAAAGAATGGCAGAAAAGAATGGGAACTTAAACCTCTATTAAGCGGCCAACTCAGCCACTTGCATTACCTCCCACATGCATGGCCACTAACCTTACTGAAAGTTTAACTGTATCTTTTCCTTATGACCAGTTCTTAGGTTGCGTCTCATGAAAATTAAAAAAGGTAATAATTTTTATTCCTCCCACATACTTGTGATGAGAGAATTTTTCACATTACATCGTCCCTTTCCAACCCAATGTGCTGCAAGGTCATCATAAACTTTGGGTTGAAGCGGATATCTTGAAACATACCATTTACAAATTTGACACAGTGATAAATCAAGGTTGCTGCGAAACACCTTGTATTTTAGTCTCCATTTAAAGTATTCATTGTAAGCAGTGTTATTTTTGTCCAGATACTGAAGGTACTCCGCAAACTGTTTAACAGTTTTGAAGTCCATAACATTGATATAAGACCCTGGAATTGCTAGCTTGGAGTAATTAGCACCTCCCATCACAATTGGAACCACATTTATGTCTTCACCTGAAAGAGATGATAGAAGAAATAAATTGTTTAATCCTTATTCCTCAAGTGGCCTGACATAACTTTCACTCTTTAAAACTTGTTATTAAATTGATTAAAATTTGCAATAAATGTGAAAGATGATAAAAAAATTGTCTTTCTTTTTGTATTTTCAATCCATCAGAAAATTGGAACTACAACATACAGGCAGGGCTTGAAATTAACGGTAACCTGTTAACCACCGGTTAGTAGTTTCCAATATTTGGTTACTAAAAATGTGCCCAAGTAACCCAACATGGTTAGTTAAAATTTCTGTTAAATTAAGTATTATCATTCATAGAAATTCTTCTTACAAATGAGCATTAATTTTCACGAAAGGCTGATGTGTTTTTTTTTGCATAAGGTTGTTTTCTATCTTGACAAATTTTTTGTTCTAAAAGATATGCTTCCTGCATAATTGAACAACAAGAAAGAGTCGCATTTCGCAAGAGGCAAGGTAACAAGGCTTGTTGGATGAGGAGATATCTGGACACAACCTTAGTATACCTCCGCCATCTTGCTTGTTTCTGCTTTGGTTTGTTTTCTTTTGGAAGTGGCTCATTTGTGCAACCTATTTATTATACAAACTAGGAGTAATCGGAGCTTAGGAGAGTGCGTTTGATATGTTTTTTAGGCGTACAGGTAGCAGTTGAGCGGGAAGGGTGGTTGCGATATAGATAAATATGATTATGGCATATTTTGAATGTAAGGGTTGCATACAGCGAAACCTCTATTTGACCCAGGATTCTTTTTCTTTCTTCAAAAACATTTCTTTGGATAATTTTCTCTGTTATTTTTAAGAGCATCCAATCATCAACTTGTTGACAAAATGAATTAACTTGAATTTACTGTTTTAAAAGCTTTCACATCTGAATTCAAACTTCGCACAAAACCCTGTCAAAGCCTTCAATGGAATGTGTGTGTGTGGCTCACATCAATAACTTTTCCAGTAATTTGGTCGAACGTGTTGATTTCAGTGACTCGAGAGTGGCGCTACTGTGGGCTGGTTTATAAGTTTTTCCTAATAAATAACATAGAGTTAAAGTGTTTGTTTGTCCAGTGCCGAAAATATCACAAGTCATGATCAACTGAAATGGCGCCGCCGAGCTTCACATCTCGGTAGATTTACTTTGTGGCACAACGGTTGCCGAGCTACACAACTTGGTAGATTTACTTTGTGACACATTGGCCGCCGAGCTACACAACTCGGTAAATTTACCAGTACAATAGGTACAATAGACTGCTTGCAGTCCGCCTTTTCTCTTTTAAATCCGTCTAGTCCTTATATCATCCAGCATGATTGCAAACCACGACGTTATTATTAGTAAATGGAATGAGATTTTTTCTGCTCGGGCTTACTCCCTCGTTTCATATAAGAGACTGCTCGCAGTCTAGTGGTACAACGGCCGCTGAACTAAACCCGGTTTGATGCATGCACCAGGAGTCGCAGACATTTTCCAAAGACAGTGATGAACCATGCTGAAAAATATGAAGGCTTAATCCAAAGTAAACTTTAACAGCAAACTTCTAAAAGATGAAGGCTTTGGACGATTCAGCAAACACAGATCGATGTACACTTTACGAAGATTCAGCAAACTTTTTAAAACATGAACGCTTTACGAATATCAGACCTTAGCAAACTGCTTTGAAAGATGAACGCCGCAGACACAAGAATCACCACGTGATTTAGCAGGTCAAAGTGAGGCAAATCGTAAGGAAGTGCCTCAAAGGGAGGCAATTGTGTGTCAACAACAAAAATGCATTCTCAAAAAAATCTCCCTTATTAATTGCACAGGACACCCAATAATGCACAGAAAACCCAACACAAATTAGGGGATGCGTTCTCCTACCTTGAACGCAATCAGATGCAGAAATAGGTCGCCGGACAAAAGGTGTGAGGAGCAAATGGAAGATTCAGAAAAACAACATAGAACAATTATTTCACAATTGGCTTTGGTTTTACTTCTGATTGGATGAAAAGGTGGCGCGAATCTTTTAAGCCAATCGCATCGTGTAGAAAGTGCAAAACCAATTACTTTTCGACACTCAAATGAAAACCGCTCTATTAGCACAATTTTCAGTAGTTAATATATTGTAACTTCAAGAACAGATTCTTGGATAATAAACTTTATAATTTGGTAAGTAAAATTTATGCCTGAAAATGCAGATAAGTGAAAAATGATATAGAGAGAGCTTAAATCAAGAAATCCCCAGTGTATATCCTTTTCCTGGTTATTGTTCTCTGCTTTGACACCCGCAACATTTGGCTATTATTTGAAGAAGAATAGAACTTCTCGCGACTAACAATACTTGAGTCTTGTTAATAACTACATTATTCACTACTCCTGTTAATAACTTCATTCCTGTTAAATGCTTCATTAAATGTCATTATTAATTGCCAAGTGTATCTAAAGTTACTCTAAGTTTTATTAAATTTCAAATGGAAGCAGGCTTTCTTTGTGGCAGATTTTTGTGTTGTTGTGATTTCAAATCGAACTTGAACTGCGTGCTTGTCCAATTTTGAAATCACAGGTATGATTTTTGCCTGCGTTGCAGACGCTCTAAACCTTCTGTATAGAGCATCTGTGAATTAGTGCACAATATCGTGTTCGAATCCCACAGAGTCGCAAGGACATATGTTGGCGCTTTTGGTTGGCTAGTTTCTTATGCAGTTTGTGATTAGTCCAATTTGAATTAAGTGTTAAAAAGCTAAACACAACTAAAAGCTCGTGAAAAGAGAGACTGAGCTTGTGGTTTGAAATGTGACCCTAGAGTCAGTTTGAACAACACAGGTTTTTCTTGCTCTCTTTTTGTGTAGTTTATGCAGTGCAGGGAGTATTCTACACTTTGACTGAGAAAACTTTTTTTGCCGCTTTGAGTCTTACATTTAGAGGTAATGAAGCTGGTGCGTTCCATGCATACAGTCAACTCGCTTTATTGCGGACACCGTAAGGACCTCGAGTTAGTGTCCTTACTAGCAAGAGTCCTTAATAGCGGGAAATTACTTCAGTCAAACATCTGTAATTTTTTTTTGCCCAGGATTTAGCTACTGTCCGTATTATCGGGGTGACCGTTAAAGCGGGGCATCCGCAAGGCGAGAGTTGACTGTATTTAGTTCCTGTGGTTTATATTTCAGCAAATGTTTTTTTGACAGTATTTAATCACAGCTGCAGTTTACCATTAAAACAATTTTCTTTTACCTTTGTTTAAGCCTTAAGCTTTTTTATTGCGGATAAATAATAACCTCAGTTTCCTTGGTTTTCTTCAAAATGCCTGGACCTGAGTAGCTACGTGTGTAGTTTTTTTTTTTTTTTGGGGGGGGGGGGGCGGGAAAATAATGTTTTAATAAAAAAAAAAATAAAAATACCTTTTTTTTTTCCCTTTGGGGAAAAAAATAAAAATAAAATAAAAAAAAAAATTAAAACAACTACAAAAAATAATAAAAATACAAATTTGTAAAAATTTACCACCTCTAAGAAAAAAAAATTTTTTTGCCATANGGAAATTACTTCAGTCAAACATCTGTAATTTTTTTTTGCCCAGGATTTAGCTACTGTCCGTATTATCGGGGTGACCGTTAAAGCGGGGCATCCGCAAGGCGAGAGTTGACTGTATTTAGTTCCTGTGGTTTATATTTCAGCAAATGTTTTTTTGACAGTATTTAATCACAGCTGCAGTTTACCATTAAAACAATTTTCTTTTACCTTTGTTTAAGCCTTAAGCTTTTTTATTGCGGATAAATAATAACCTCAGTTTCCTTGGTTTTCTTCAAAATGCCTGGACCTGAGTAGCTACGTGTGTAGTTTTTTTTTTTGGGGGGGGGGCGTGAACATCATGATTTCATAATAATAATAATAATAATACCTTTATTTATTACCTTTGGCGATAAGAATTACAGTAATATTACAATAAAAATTCAAAACACTACATATAATATATACATATCAAATTAGGTTAAGTTTAGCACCTCTAGGAATAAACAATTGTTTGTGCCTAACTGTGCGTGATACAAGTATTCTGAGGTGCACCGGGTTAGTCTTACAACATCTTAGATTATGGCCATGATCCACTGGCTTGTCTAAAAAATGTTTGCAAGGATGTGCTTCTGATTCTAGGATACGTTTAAATTCTTTCCTCATCAAATTATGACGCCTAGTTACAAGTGACTCAACAGAATCCCTAGGGAGACCAATGACATTGAGACATCTATTCCACACTCTCTGTAGATCTTAGGTTGTTTTGACGCTACAGACCTGTCGGCTAGATTGCAGAATACGCGGCAGAGCATCTGCAGCGATTGGAAGACGCTGGAAAACCCGCCTATCAGAAACGCTCACATATGTCATTGCGACTCTGCAGGATATTAGAACGAGCTTTTGTGCACTAATTCGAAGAAAGACTATACAAATGGTTTTGACGAGTGTGTGGGCAGGCTGCAACGCAGGCTAGTATGATTTCGGACCAAATTGCAATCCACTCAGCTCAATTACCATTATAAATATACACAAAAAAATACTCAATTCTGATTGATTGAAAGTAAAGGGCAGTTTTCTTGTAACACAAGTGCAAATTTGTAACACAAACGCAGTCAGAGTGGGTTCAGCAAAAACAACCGTGGTGTGGGGTGAAGGAATTAGGTTCGGTACATGACAAGTTTGACATTTAAACTTTTTTATGTTTACTTGCATGACTGCCCTGACTGGCAAGTTTTCAAAACAGCTATCAAAACAGTGAAAAGACAAAGACTTACCAAGCCTTCCCCAATACTTTTCGGTGATGTAATCCTCACATAAAGCGTTCTCGAATGACAAATAGAATTTAAACTTTTTAAGGCAATCAGTTGGCGGATTTGAACATCTTTTTCCAGAACAACCTCCAAAGATATCGACCTTGATGTATTTTTTCAGATTTTGGACAAACGCCATTCGAGGTTGAGCGCCACAATTACCCACCATCCAAGCCACAAGTTCAGTTTTTCCTTGGGAATAGTCCGGTATGTTTTTCATTTTCTCTACTTTTTCTTCTTCACTCAGTTCCTCGTAACTTCCATATGGCGACAAGAAATCTGAATCGCTTCTGAAAGTCCACGTTGAGTTAAAAAGCCCGTTTAATGGAGCAGGATCTGGTGTTACATTTGGACTTTCCCACAAAGCGTATACCCAGCGCTGTGAAGTGGGCCTGCTTTTCAGCAGCGTTCTTAGATGATCTACACTTGGCATGTTTCTAGCGTGAAACACGACTAAGTCGCTTTCCTCAAACCGCTGTTTGTCGTAAATTAATTCGAAATCACCTGAGAGACATTTATTTGAGGCGAATAAAAACTTGTTTTCAAATCCGCAGTTATCACGATCTCCTATCCACTTCACTGTCCCGAAGAAGACAGTGTAGACAAGAACGACTGTCTTGGTCCTCTCTTCTTCAGTGGGTTGCACCGTTGTAGTAATGTTGTTCCTGTCCACCATAAATTTATCCATTGAGTGATTAAATTTCAGCGAATGTGACTTATTTTCAAAATAGATGTCAGCAGTGAAGTTCGACATCCATCTAATGACTTTAAGTCCTCGAATGTCATAAAAATTTAGCGCTGCAAGAAGAAGAACAGAAATTCCACAGGTGGAAAGAAAACAGTATTTTGACCAATTTAGCGTCGACGTGGCCATTAATTCCCAAGCCACACTTGCTCACAAGATTGTAGGATGATTGGGCTGTAGAAAAAGTGTCCTTACACAAAATACAGTTACATTTACCATAAATAAAGTTAAGTTATTTTCCAAAGCAGCTCATCGCGTCTGGAATCTTCTTTGTTTATACACAAAGCTGAGGTTGCTCCAGAGCTGTACAAAGTGACAAAAAAGAAATCCTTCCTCGTCTCAGGGTCTCCTCGGCAACTTGTCCAACCTCGTTCCCAGAGCTTCTCTCCTACCAGTCAAGTAAGGACCCGAGGACGGCGACCGCAACGGGAACGCGACAAAAGCAATAGGTTTAATTAGCAAAACAACAATTTTGCACGTGCATCACGCTTTTTTGTACATTTCTTTGCCGTCACTGCAAGACTACGACGTGAAAATGCGTAATTTCACGATGTACAGAGGAAGTACACAAGCGACGAGGAAATTTCCTCTCTTTCTGAACTTGGATATGGTTCTTAAGAATTCAACTTTAGGAGAGTTCGCCTACATTTGACAAAGTTAATGACTTGGACTAATCGTGATGAAGATTGAAAAGAACACGAATTCACTTTTTCAGCGACGTTTTCTCTGCCGTCGCCGTCCTCGGATCTACGGCGACGGCAGAGAAAACGTCACTTTTAAAATCAATTCGAGTTTTTTCAAACTTTGTCGCGTTTATTTCAATTCGCTGAAAAAGTCAAATTTAGGCGAATTTCCCTGGAGTTGATTTCTTGGAGATCGCCTCAAATTTTATTAAGTTTAGAAAGAGAAAGAAAAATTCGCCGTAATCTTTGCCGTCACTTGTTTTCGTCCTCCATGAAACATGAAATTTTGAAGCCTTGTGCAAACAGTCGCAACAATTGGCTGCGGCCGCACTTGGCAAGTTAACCGGGTAGGTTTTTGAAATACCCGGTAAAACATTTTTCAAAACCGTAACCAGTCTAAAAGAGTTTAACCAGGTTAATTTTTTTTATTGTTGGCCAACAGCTGCCAACATTGTTCAGTGTTGTTGGATATGACTTGCCTAGTCCCTAACCCTCATTATTCCGCACGGCCAAAAAAGAAAACCGCATGAGATTTCTAAGTTTTGTCTCACTTTTGAGGATTTTTATCTGGATCTATCTCTTTTAAGGATTAATTCATGGGTTTTTAAATAAAACTATGAGACTGAAGGAGCAGAAATCAATCTTCACATCAAAACAGCAACGCATTCTGTTTTTGTCTAAACGTTTCCTGCGCGTTCGCCTCGGATACGTCACCTTAGAGTCAGTTTGAACAACAGAGGTTTTTCTTGCTCTCCTTTTGTGTAGTTTATGTAGTGCATGGAGTATTCTACACTTTGACTGAGAAAACTTTTTTTGCCGCTTTGAGTCTCACATTTAGAGGTAATGAAGCTGGTCCGTTCCATGCATATTGAGTAATTAGTTCGGCAAATGTTTTTTTGACAGTATTTAATCACAGCTGCAGTTTACCATTAAAACGATTTTCTTTTACCTTTGTTTAAACCTTAAGCTTTTTTATTGCGGCTAAGTAATAACCTCAGTTTCCTTGGTTTTCTCTGAAATGCCTGGACCTGAGTAGCTACGTGTGTAGTTTTTTGGGGGGGCCGTGAACATCATGATTTCATAATAATAATAATAATACCTTTATTTATTACCTTTGGGGATAAGAATTACGGTAATATTACAATAAAAATTCAAAACACTACATATTATACATACATATCAAATTAAGTTAAGTTTAGCACCTCTAGGAATAAACAATTGTTTTTGGGCCTAACAGTGCGTGATACAAGTATTCTGAGGTGCGCTGGGTTAGTCTTACAACATCTTAGATTATGGCCATGATCCACTGGCTTGTCTAAAAAATGTTTGCAAGGATGTGCTTCTGATTCTAGGATACGTTTAAATTCTTTCCTCGTCAAACTCTGACGCCTAGTTACAAATGACTCAACAGTATCCCTAGGGAGACCAATGACATTTAGACATCTATTCTGCACTCTCTGTAAATCTTGATTTGTTTTGACGCTAGAACTGTCGGCTAGATTGCAGAATACGCGGAAGAGCATCTGCAGCGATTGGAAGACGCTGGAAAACCAGTCGGCAAATATACAAGCAAATTCCGGCCTTGAAGGCAATCTCTCAAAGCATTTTTTTGTTTAGAAGAAGACTTTAAAGTTTGAACTGCTGTTACATTGTTTACTGTAAACGATCCTTGCCAACTCCCTTCTGTGAATTTTGACATGTCACTTCGCCCAACCGTCATGTACACGTAAGAATTAGGCCAATCGTGAGGCGCATAAGAAACCGGTGAGAAACCCGCCTATCAGAAACGCTCACATATGTCATTGCGACTCTGCAGGATATTAGAACGAGCTTTTGTGCACTAATTCGAAGAAAGACTATACAAATGGTTTTGACGAGTGCGTGGGCAGGCTGCAACGCAGGCTAGTATGATTTCAGACCAAATTGCAATCCACTCAGCTCAATTACCATTATAAATATACACAAAAAAAATACTCAATTCTGATTGATTAAAAGTAAAGGGCAGTTTTCTTGTAACACAAGTGCAAATTTGTAACACAAACGCAGTCAGAGTGGGTTCAGCAAATTCACACGATGAAAACAACCGTAGTGTGGGGTGAAGAAATTAGGTTCAGTACATGACAAGTTTGACATTTAAACTTTTTTATGTTTACTTGCAAGACTGCCCTGACTGGCAAGTTTTCAAAACAGCTATCAAAACAGTGAAAAGACAAAGACTTACCAAGCCTTCCCCAATACTTTTCGGTGATGTAATCCTCACATAAAACGTTCTCGAATGCCAGATAAAACTTAAACGTTTTAAGGCAAGCAGCTAGATTTCCACAACCTCTCTGTTGCCCAAATTTTCCGGAACACCTTCCAAACACATCAACCTTGATGTATTTTTTCAGCCTTTCGGCAAAAGCCATTCGAGGTTGAGCGCGACAATTACTAACCATCCAAGCCACAAGTTCAGTTTTTCCTTCGGAATAGTCCGGTATGTTTTTCATTTTATCTATTTTTTCTTCTTCAGTCAGTTCGTCGTAACTTCCATATGGCGACCAAAAATCTGAATCCCTTCTGAAAGTCCATGTTGAGTTAAAAAGTCCGTTTAATGGAGCAGGATTTGGTGTTGCATTCGGACTTTCCCACAAAGCGTATACCCAGCGCTGTGAAGTGGGCCTGCTTTTCAGCAGCGTTCTTAGATGATCTACACTTGGCATGTTTCTAGCGTGAAACACGACTAAGTCGCTTTCCTCAAACCGCTGTTTGTCGTAAATCAATTCGAAATCACCTGAGAGACATTTATTTGAGGCAAATAAAAACTTGTTTTCAAATCCGCAGTTATCACGATCTCCTATCCACTTCGCTTTCCGGAAGAAGGCAGTGTAGACAAGAACGACTGTCTTGGTCCTCTCTTCTTCAGTGGGTTGCACCGTTGTAGTCATGTTGTTCCTGTCCACCATAAATTTATCCATTGAGTGGTGAAATTTAAGCGAATGTGAGTTATTTTCAAAATAGATGTCAGCAGTGAAGTTCGACATCAATCTCATCACTTTCAGTCCTGGAATGTCATAAAAATTTAGCGCTGCAAGAAGAAGAACAGAAAATCCACAGGTGGAAAGAAAACAGTATTTTGACCAATTTAGCGTCGACATGGCCATTAATTACCAAGCCAAACTTGCTTACAAGATTGTAGGATGATTGGGCTGTAGAAAAAGTGTACTTACACAAAATACAGTTACATTTACCATAAATAAAGTTAAGTTATTTTCCAAAACAGCTCATCGCGTCTTGAATCTTCTTTGTTTATGCACAAAGCTGAGGTGGCTCCAGAGCTGTACAAAGTTATTTGAAGTCCTCGTCCCAGGGTCTCCTCGGCAACTTGGCCAACCTGGTTCCCAGAGCTTCTCTCCTACCAATCAACTGCCACGACGAGACGTCACTTTTAAAATCAATTCGCGTTTTTTCAAACTTAATCGCGTTTATTTCAATTCGCTGAAAAAGTCAAATGTAGGCGCATTTCCCTGGAGTTGATTTCTTGGGGATCGCCTCAAATTTATTACGTTTAGAAAGAGAAAGAAAAATTCGCCGTTATCTTTGCCGTCACTTGTTTTCGTCCTCCATGAAACATGAAATTTTGAAACCTTGTGCAAACGGACGCAACAATTGGTTGCGGCCGCACTTGGCAAGTTAACCGGGTAGGTTTTTGAAATACCCGGTAAAAAATTCTTCAAAACCGTAACTTGTCTAAAAGAGTTTAACCAGGTTAATTTTGTTGGCCAACAGCTGCCAGCATTGTTCAGTGTTGTTGGATATGACTTGCCTAGTCCCCAAGCCTCATTATTCCGCACATGATGACGCGCAAGCCTTGGAAACGTGCACGACGGTCATTTGAATAGGAAGTGTTGACAACATAGGTCACGACCGAAGATTGGGAACTATAAGAAATCCCTGGAACTTATTACACCAGGGAGAGTAAGATTTTAGGGGGACGTGGATGTTTTGTTCGATTCTCGTATTTCATGTTCGTGACATGTTGTCGTCTCGCCTTTTTTTAGACATTTATACCTTGTTTTAGATGGTTTTAGATTGTTTGCGAGTGGTTGTAGATGTTTTTGAGGTGGTTGTAGATAGTTGTAGGTGGTTGTTGAATTTTTTGAGGTGGTTGTAGGTGGTTTTAGGTGGTTGTAGATGGTTTTAGGTGGTTTTAGGTCGTTCCATGTTTTAGTAACTACGTTTAAAAATTGCACTTAGGAGCTTCGATCACCATGGCATTACAATAACACTCGCTTACTCGAGCTAAACATATTAACTTGTAAATTTCCACTTGGCAGGGGCACCCAACGAGGATATAGTTCAAAACCACTTAACATAGCATTGTTGAACGTATTTTAGTATTTAAACGGTAGACATAGGCATATTTTTATCCCCTAAAAACTTTTCATCTGTTCGGATTTCCTAGCTGAAAGTCTAGTGATCCGAAAATTATAGGGATCAAAACTTACCTTTTCGAAAATTTCAGCCGGGAAAGGGCTCCCGAAAATTCTAGGTGGCCTTTTTTAGGTAAAAATTCCTTAAAAATGGGTAATTATACCATTTTGTAGATGTTCGAAAATCCTAGGAGAGGCAGGCAAGCAAGAAATTTTACAACAAATGTTCCGAAAATTATAGATCTCAAATCACTCGCTTACTCGAGCTAAAACATATGAGACATATTAACCATTAATTTTCTTCTGTGCGCAAGTGATTTCATAATACCGCGGTGTCTAACTTACAGAATCACGGGCGTGCCACCTAGTGTTTCTGTTGCATGATAAAACTGGCACTTAGGAGTTTAGAACACAATAACATTACAATAACACTCGCTTACTCAAGCTTTCCACTTGGTGCGCAAGTGATTTCACAATGCTGTAGTGTCTGATTCACAGAATCACAGGCGTGCCACCTAGTGTTTCTGTTGCTTTAAAAATTGCACTTAGGAGTTTAGATCACCATGGCATTACAATAACACTCACTTACTCGAGCTAAAACATATCCGACATATTAACCATTAATTTTCTTCTGTGCGCAAGTGATTTCATAATACCGTGGTGTCTAACTCACAGAATCACGGGCGCGCCACCTAGTGTTTCTGTTGCTTTAAAAATTGCACTTAGGAGTTTAGATCACCATGGCATTATAATAACACTCACTTACTCGAGCTAAGACATATTAACATTATTAACTTGGTGCGCAAGTGATTTCATAATGCCATGGTGTCTGATTCACAGAATCACGTGCGCGCCACCTAGTGTTTCTGTTGTTTTAAAAATCACTCTTAGGAGTTTAGATCACCATGACATTACAATAACACTCGCTTACTCAAGCTAAAACGTATGAACCTTTACATTTCCACTTGGTGCGCAAGTGATTTCATAATGCCGTGGTGTCTGACTCACAGGATCACGGGCGTGCCACCTAGTAGGCCTAGTTTTTCTGTTGCTTTAAAAATTGCACTTAGGAGTTTAGATTACCATGGCATTACAATAACACTCGCTTACTCGAGCTAAAACATATCAAACATATTAACCCTCAATTTTCTTCTGTGCGCAAGTGATTTCATTTTCCTTCAATACATAGCTTTTTCTTGACTGGATAACGAGTTAAACAGCGGCAGCGGGGAGATTTGGTAATTTTTGGCGGGCTTTGGGCACGTTTTCGCGGGATGACTTTTTCACTATTCGACCGAATCCATTTGGTCTCTTGGTCTTTGTGTTTTCGGCCTCTACTTACCCTGCGAGCAGAGGCCCTTCGATCTTCCTACATCGAAGGGCCTCTGCTCGCAGGGTAGCCTCTACTATGACATCTTTAGGAATTTAGGCCGAGTTACTGCTAACAATAGTATTTCCCCAAATCCGTCATTAAATAACGGAAACTTTTTTAATGTAGCCCGTTTGCACACGCTTTACATATTAAAATTCGTACTTGGCAGTCCTAGGCTTGAGGGAATAAGACAAATTAAAGAAATATCTTGAGGCTCAGCAGTGAATTATACATCATTCTCTTATGTTTTATTCCCTCAAGCCTCGGATCAATTTTATCGTTGGTTTATTAAAATTACAATCTCCTTTCCTTTAGACATCATTCATTACCATACCCGAATATCAACGAAAGTGAGTTAAATGAATGTGTCAAAAGTGGACATAATTGACGTTATAAATTTTACGGATGATAGATCTCAATGTTTCACTTTCTCGAGCCGGAGAGGTTCCAAACATATCGATCATATAACGTGTTGTTCAAGCTTCCTTATGTCTAAAACCTTCAGCTTGAGCAAGTAAGACATGTTTGAAATTTACGGTCATCAAGTACCATAAATCTGGTTATTCCCCACGCCTCAGACACTTTTCAATGCATGTAGCGCGGCAACCCTCTTCAATTCTCTGCCATCCAATGTTAAATGTTGTGATAATTTTAAATCCTTCAGTAAGCAAACATTATGTATTTTAAGGGAGCGCTGCCGGAATAGGGGGGAAAGATTTTTTGCCAAGTTTTAGATTATGTATGTATATATTGTATAATCACACTTTACTGTTTACCTAGCTTTTTACAAATTCATAATTCAGATTTATGTTAATTTCCTCATTTTACTTTTATATCAGGTTTGGCAAGTTAACCGGGTAGGTTTTTGAAATACCCGGTAAAACATTTTTCAAAACCGTAACCAGTCTAAAAGAGTTTAACCAGGTTAATTTTTTTTATTGTTGGCCAACAGCTGCCAACATTGTTCAGTGTTGTTGGATATGACTTGCCTAGTCCCTAACCCTCATTATTCCGCACGGCCAAAAAAGAAAACCGCATGAGATTTCTGAGTTTTGTCTCACTTTTGAGGATTTTTATCTAGATCTATCTCTTTTAAGGATTAATTCATGGGTTTTTAAATAAAACTATGAGACTGAAGGAGCAGAAATCAATCTTCACATCAAAACAGCAACGCATTCTGTTTTTGTCAAAACGTTTCCTGCGCGTTCGCCTCGAATACGTCACCTTAGAGTCAGTTTGAACAACAGAGGTTTTTCTTGCGCTCCTTTTGTGTAGTTTATGTAGTGCATGGAGTATTCTACACTTTGACTGAGAAAACTTTTTTTGCCGCTTTGAGTCTCACATTTAGAGGTAATAAAGCTGGTCCGTTCCATGCATATTGAGTAATTAGTTCCTGTGGTTTATGTTTCAGCAAATGTTTTTTTGACAGGATTTAATCACAGCTGCAGTTTACCATTAAAACGATTTTCTTTTACCTTTGTTTAAACCTTAAGCTTTTTTATTGCGGCTAAGTAATAACCTCAGTTTCCTTGGTTTTCTCTGAAATGCCTTGACCTGAATAGCTACGTGTGTAGTTTTTTTGGGGGGCCGTGAACATCATGATTTCATAATAATAATAATAATACCTTTATTTATTACCTTTGGGGATAAGAATTAAGGTAATATTACAATAAAAATTCAAAACACTACATATTATACATACATATCAAATTAAGTTAAGTTTAGCACCTCTAGGAATAAACGATTGTTTTTGGGCCTAACAGTGCGTGATACAAGTATTCTGAGGTGCGCTGGGTTAGTCTTACAAGATCTTAGATTATGGCCATGATCCACTGGCTTGTCTAAAAAATGTTTGCAAGGATGTGCTTCTGATTCTAGGATACGTTTAAATTCTTTCCTCGTCAAACTCTGACGCCTAGTTACAAGTGACTCAACAGTATCCCTAGGGAGACCAATGACATTTAGACATCTATTCTGCACTCTCTGTAAATCTTGATTTGTTTTGACGCTAGAACTGTCGGCTAGATTGCAGAATACGCGGCAGAGCATCTGCAGCGATTGGAAGACGCTGGAAAACCAGTCGGCAAATATACAAGCAAATTCCGGCCTTGAAGGCAATCTCTCAAAGCATTTTTTTGTTTAGAAGAAGACTTTAAAGTTTGAACTGCTGTTACATTGTTTACTGTAAACGATCCTTGCCAACTCCCTTCTGTGAATTTTGACATGTCACTTCGCCCAACCGTCATGTACACGTAAGAATTAGGCCAATCGTGAGGCGCATAAGAAACCGGTGAGAAACCCGCCTATCAGAAACGCTCACATATGTCATTGCGACTCTGCAGGATATTAGAACGAGCTTTTGTGCACTAATTCGAAGAAAGACTATACAAATGGTTTTGACGAGTGCGTGGGCAGGCTGCAACGCAGGCTAGTATGATTTCAGACCAAATTGCAATCCACTCAGCTCAATTACCATTATAAATATACACAAAAAAAATACTCAATTCTGATTGATTAAAAGTAAAGGGCAGTTTTCTTGTAACACAAGTGCAAATTTGTAACACAAACGCAGTCAGAGTGGGTTCAGCAAATTCACACGATGAAAACAACCGTAGTGTGGGGTGAAGAAATTAGGTTCAGTACATGACAAGTTTGACATTTAAACTTTTTTATGTTTACTTGCAAGACTGCCCTGACTGGCAAGTTTTCAAAACAGCTATCAAAACAGTGAAAAGACAAAGACTTACCAAGCCTTCCCCAATACTTTTCGGTGATGTAATCCTCACATAAAACGTTCTCGAATGCCAGATAAAACTTAAACGTTTTAAGGCAAGCAGCTAGATTTCCACAACCTCTCTGTTGCCCAAATTTTCCGGAACACCTTCCAAACACATCAACCTTGATGTATTTTTTCAGCCTTTCGGCAAAAGCCATTCGAGGTTGAGCGCGACAATTACTAACCATCCAAGCCACAAGTTCAGTTTTTCCTTGGGAATAGTCCGGTATGTTTTTCATTTTATCTATTTTTTCTTCTTCACTCAGTTCCTCGTAACTTCCATACGGCGACCAAAACTCTGAATCGCTTCTGAAAGTCCATGTTGAGTTAAAAAGTCCGTTTAATGGAGCATGATTTGGTTTTGCATTTGGACTTTCCCACAGCGCTGTGATGTGGGCCTGCTTTTCAGCAGCGTTCTTAGATGATCTACACTTGGCATGTTTCTAGCGTGAAACACGACTAAGTCGCTTTCCTCAAACCGCTGTTTGTCGTAAATCAATTCGAAATCACCTGAGAGACATTTATTTGAGGCAAATAAAAACTTGTTTTCAAATCCGCAGTTATCACGATCTCCTATCCACTTCGCTTTCCGGAAGAAGGCAGTGTAAACAAGAACGACTGTCTTAGTCCTCTCTTCTTCAGTGGGTTGCACCGTTGTAGTCATGTTGTTCCTGTCCACCATAAATTTATCCATTGAGTGGTTAAATTTCAGCGAATGCGAGCTATTTTCAAAATAGATGTCAGCAGTGAAGTTGGACATCAATCTCATGACTTTCATTCCTGGAATGTCATAAAAATTTAGCGCTGCAAGAAGAAGAACGGAAAATCCACAGGTGGAAAGAAAACAGTATTTTGACCAATTTAGCGTTGACATGGCCATTAATTACCAAGCCAAACTTGCTTACAAGATTGAAGGATGATTGGGCTGTAGAAAAAGTGTATTTACACAAAATACAGTTAAATTTACCATAAATTAATAAGGTTAAGTTATTTTCCAAAACAGCTCATCGCGTCTTGAATCTTCTTTGTTCATGATACACAAAGCTGAGGTGGCTCCAGAGCTGTACAAAGTTATTTGAAGTCCTCGTCCCAGGGTCTCCTCGGCAACTTGGCCAACCTGGTTCCTAGAGCTTCTCTCCTACCAGTCAACTGCCACGACGAGACACTTTTAAAATCAATTCGCGTTTTTTCAAACTAAATCGCGTTTATTTCAATTCGCTGAAAAAGTCAAATGTAGGCGCATTTCCCTGGAGTTGATTTCTTGGGGATCGCCTCAAATTTATTAAGTTTAGAAAGAGAAAAAAAAATTCGCCGTAATCTTTGCCGTTTGTTTTCGTCCTCCATGAACATGAAATTTTGAAACCTTGTGCAAACGGACGCAACAATTGGCTGCGGCCGCACTTGGCAAGTTAACCGGGTTGGTTTTTGAAATACCCGGTAAAAAATTCTTCAAAACCGTAACTTGTCTAAAAGAGTTTAACCAGGTTAATTTTTTTATTGTTGGCCAACAGCTGCCAGCATTGTTCAGTGTTGTTGGATATGACTTGCCTAGTCCCCAAGCCTCATTATTCCGCACATGATGACGCGCAGGCCTTGGAAACGTGCACGACGGGTCATTTGAATTGACCGATTGCGCAATATAAAACAAAGGAAGTGTTGACAACATAGTTCAAGACCGAAGATCGGCAACTATAAGAAATCCCTGGAACTTATTACTCGCACGTCATCGTGTGTTCATCTCGCTAACTCATATGACATTTTATTCCGGCAGGAGCAATTAAAACAATCAAAATATGCTTTTGTCTCCTTTAACGATAACCGAAACCTCCGTAAATACATCATCGATTTTATTGTAAAAATTACAAATGTCTTTTCAAACAGAGCAACTTCAGAACACTCGGCCACTTTACTCAAATTTACTTACATTGGGTGGGCCACGCCGAAACGTTTCTTTGTATCTACGACGTGAAATAATCAAACTAAAACCAAACCAAAGTCTCTCCAGGTGATTAAAAGCAAAAGGCCGCCCGTGAGGAGAACGCGAGACCACAAAAAATTGTTTTCGAAATGCAACCGCATTAGCAGAGATTCTCAGTAAACGGATCGCAACAGTTTTTTCTAAATAAATATCAAAAAGAAAAAGAAAAGCCTTTTTCCGAATAACCGATTACGTATACTGTGCTTTCCAGTTTCCAGGACGTACTAAAAGTGCCGGAAATGGGAATTTTGGTACGCGTGTTTTATTTGTAACGAAAAAACAAATCTTTTACTAATAAATGCCGAACAATATAACTGGCGGAGGGTCTCCTACAAGAAAATCACCTATTACAAAACACTCTAAGACAGACATATAGCTTTCATAGCTTGTATACCCCTTGGTTTTCTAGTTATTTTGCAAGTGATTTCATAACACCTTGGTGTCTAACTGTTTCTGTTGCATGATAAAACTCGCACTTAGGAGTTTAGAACACAATAACATTACAATAACACTCGCTTACTCAAGCTAAAACATATTAACATTTAAATTTCCACTTGGTGCGCAAGTGATTTCATAATGCCGTGGTGTCTGATTCACAGAATCACGGGCGTGCCACCTAGTGTTTCTGTTGCTTTAAAAATTGCACTTGGGAGTTTAGATCACCATGGCATTACAATAACACTCGCTTACTCGAGCTAAATAATATATAAATTTCCACTTGGTGAGCAAGCGATTTCATAATGCCGTGGTGTCTAACTCAAAGAATCACGGGCATGCCACCTAGTGTTTCTGTTGCTTTAAAAATTGCACTTAGGAGTTTAGATCACCATGGCATTACAATAACACTCGCTTGCTAAAAACCTTTAAATTTCCACTTGGTGCGCAACTGATTTCATAATGCCATGGTGTCTGATTCACAGAATCACGGGCGTGCCACCTAGTGCTTGTGTTGCTTCAAAAATCGCACTTAGAAGTTTAGAACGCCATGGCATTACAATAACACTCGCTTACTCGAGCTAAAACATATCAGACATATTAACCATTAATTTTCTTCTGTGCGCAAGTGATTTCATTACACCGTGGTGTCTAACTCACAGAATCACGTGCGCGCCACCTAGTGTTTCTGTTGTTTTAAAAATCACACTTAGGAGTTTAGATCACCATGACATTACAATAACACTCGCTTACTCAAGCTAAAACGTATGAACCTTTACATTACCACTTGGTGCGCAAGTGCCGTGCTGTCTGACTCACAGGATCACTGGCGTGCCACCTAGTGTTTCTGTTGCTTTAAAAATTGCACTTAGGAGTTTAGATCACCACGGCATTACAATAACACTCGCTTACTCGAGCTAAAACATATCAGACATATTAACCCTCAATTTTTTTTCTGTGCGCAAGTGATTTCATTTTCCTTCAATACATAGCTTTTTCTTTACTGGATAACGAGTTAAATAGCGGCAGCGGCGAGATTTGGTGATTTTTGGCGGGCTTCGGGCACGTTTTCGCGGGATGACGATTTCAGTATTCGACCGAATCCATTTGATCTCTTGGTCTTTGTGTTTTCGGTCTCTACTATGACATCTTTAGGAATTTAGGCCGAGTTACTGCTAACAATAGTATTTCCCCAAATTCGTCATTAAATAACGGAAACTTTTTTTATGTAGCCCGTTTGCACACGCTTTACATATTAAAATTCGTAGTTGGCAGTCCTAGGCTTGAGGGAATAAAACAAATTAAAGAAATATCTTGAGGCTCAGCAGTGAATTATACATCATTCTCTTATGTTTTATTCCCTCAAGCCTCGGATCAATTTTATCGTTGGTTTATTAAAATTACAATCTCCTTTACTTTAGAAATCATTCATTACCATACCCAAATACCAGCTAAAGTGAGTTAAATGAATGTGTCAAAAGTGGACATAATTGACGTTATAAATTTTACGGATGATAAATCTCAATGTTTCACTTTCTCGAGCCGGAGAGGTTCCAAACATATCGATCATATAACGTGCTGTTCAAGCTTCCTTATGTCTAAAACCTTCAGCTTGAGCAAGTAAGACATGTTAGAAATTTACGGTCATCAAGTACCATAAATCTGGTTATTCCCCACGCCTCAGACACTTTTCAATGTAGCGCGGCAACCCTCTTCAATTCTCTGCCATCCAATGTTAAATGTTGTGATAATTTTAAATCCTTCAGTAAGCAAACATTATGTATTTTAAGGGAGCGCTGCCGGAATAGGGCGGAAAGATTTTTTGCCAAGTTTTAGATTATGTATGTATATATTGTATAATCACACTTTACTGTTTACCTAGCTTTTTACAAATTCATAATTCAGATTTATGTTAATTTCCTCATTTTACTTTTATATCAGGCGAAGAGCCATATCATGGATGTACTGATATTAAACCGTTATTATTATTATTATTATTATTATTATTATTATTATTATCATTATTATTATTATTATTATTATCTAAGGATGCGTAAAGAAAGCACTTAACGGCACGCAAGAAAAGGAATTAACAAAAAGAACACCGTTCTTCACGAGAACAGTTTTGCAAATCCTTCCTTCGGATTTCCCAATCGAACGGTGAAAAGGAAATCCATGAAATCCGGATTTGGATTTCTTAATTGAAATCCACCCTGAGAACGAATTTCTCGGAGGTGAAATCCGTTAATTTTCGGATTTCGCTTTCGATTACAAAATCCGAAATCCGGATTTCCCAATCGAACTCAACCCTAGTATTCATTCTTATGACACTCGATCTTCCTCGTCAAATAACCTCTATATTAAGAAATCTAGGCTAGATATCCAAAAAAGAGAGCTTTTCAAGAGTAGGAGCTAAAATTTGAAATGATATACCAGCTCCCAAAAAACGCTTTAAAACGAAACTCCAGTCTTTCCTTGTTGATATCTGTGAAACATGATGACTACATTGATATTTCCCAAATTACCTCTGCTCTGAAGATAGAACTTAAGTCATTCAAACTTACTCAGTAACACCATGTATAGAAATGGTAATACTGAAATAACTTGTTATTGTTTTTCTTGTGTTAAAAACACCAATGACAAGCTAGGAAACAAATGATGATAATCTTCCCTCACCTCATGTTGGCGTTTTACCTCAAAGTGACAATTATACGATTTATCAGCGAGTAAAGCGTTTTTGTTCAAACCCCAATAAAATGCGTCTTGTTTTGCCCTCGCTATGTCATACAGGAAAAAAGAAAAGGAAATTTCTACAAGAGTACAAGT